CACAGCTAATGCAATTCATGCAGAACTTACATCTTTCTCCCCGTACTTGACGTATAAAAACTCAAGTTAGCACATTTAATATGATTTTTAAAAATTGAGAAGTTTGCCCAGCCAGCATGGCTCCTCGGTTGAGCATCAACCTATGAACCAGGAGGTCACAGTTCGATTCCTGGTCAGGGCGCAGGCCCTGGCTTCAGGCTCAATCCCCACTGTGGGGCGAGCAAGAGGCAGCTGCTCAGTGATTCTCATCATTGATGTGTCTATCTCCCTCTGAAATCAATAAAAATATATAAAAACAAACAAACAAGCGCTTGCCAGCTCCAGGACGGCGGGCATGTTGACTTTTCCACTTGGCACTGCGATGGGTGGTTTAGACTTCATGCCCAGGACCTGGTCTCATTTTCCTAGCAGTGGCCCAAAAAACCCTTTCCTTTAACACAGTGGTTCTCAACCTTGGCTGCACAGTAGCATCACCTGGGAATCTTTTTAAAATCCTGATTTCTGGGCCTTATCCTCCGGAAATTCTGTTTCTTTGTTACTAATGTTGTGGCCCCACCCCATCACAAAGAAACAGAATTTCTGGAGGATGAGGCCCAGAAATCAGGATTATAAAAAGATTCCCAGGTGATTCCACTGTGCAGTCAAGGTTGAGAACCACTGCTTTAAGAAGACCGTCAGCCATGGAGTTACAATGTTTGACAGCAGTGTTGGAATTGAGCTGCACCCTACTGATGCCTGAGAATTGCTCCTTGGTGGTGTGGGAACCCCCAAACCCCAACACCGTGAGGCTCATAGGTCAGTGCACTGATCTAAACAGCTTTTTTGGGGGAAGATGTGAAAAAGCAGCAGAAGTTGGAGGGTCAGAATGGGAAAGCAGCTGGAGGCTGACCTGTGGACCAGTAAAATAGATGAGGTCAGTCCCGTTTTTTTATTTTCTAGGCTAAGGCACACGGCACGCTGAGATTGGAAGCACTAAGAAAAGGAAAGTTCCATGATTCTGGAAAGACTTACTCCTCAGAAAAGCAACGAAGTTATCTGGACAGGCCAGTATCTGCTCATGCTATGACCTCAAAGATGAAATTTACAACCCAAGTAAAAACCCTGATTTGATAAGTTTTGGCCAATTTTGACATTTCATTTGCAAGGTGAAGCGTTTTAGAGTGCTCAGTACGAGTCCACAAATCAAATATTTTGTTGTTAATCCTCACCCGAGGATATTTTTTCCACTGATTTTTAGAAAGAGTGGGAGGGAGGGGGAGAGAAACATCGAGGTAAGAGATGCACTGATGGGTTGTCTCCTGCAGGCTGGGCACCAGGGATCGAACTGGTGACCCTTTGGCGTGCGGGCTGACACTCTAACCACTGAGAGCACTGGCCAGGGCAAAAAACCAATTTTTCAACAAGAATTGGTGCCTTAATCTAGCCCAAGTTCTTCCTGGTCATGGTAGTTTGAAATACAAATTAAACCCTATTGCATTAACAAGTGCTACTGAAATCTTTTGGCTGGCATGCCCAGGAATTAGAGAACCACTGGCTTAAAGCAAAATGCTCACACCTCAGCTGTAAGCAACTAATGAGACATTTTATGAAATCTTCCTGAACACGCTTTTAGATTTGGGGAATTTTATTTTCACCTTCCGTCTAGTAAGCTCTTAAACCTGTGTGTTTTTTTTTCCTTTCCTCTCTGCAAAATGGAGATAATAGTCCCTTACCACTGGGGCTGTGGTAAAGATTAAATACGATTATGCACCTGAGTTCCTTTGTTCTAACTGGGTCACCCAACTAGAGGTCGTGGTCTAAAACCCAAAGGCTTGTTACTTTTACTTGACATTGCTCTTCCGCAGCATTTCAATGTTGTTATTAGGGTCCTTCATGCTGGGTTTAAAAAAGAACCAGAAGAGGGATGCTACCTAGGAAAGCAAATTACTCCTGGCATCTCTAGGTCTTCATCTTACTTCAATTTCATGTAGTCTTTCCTCATAGGTGGTTATTTCCATTTTACAGATAAGGGAAATAAGACTCAAAGTACATAATCTGCAAAACACAGCATTAGATGCCCTCTACTGCAGCCAGAAACGAAAGGAACTTGAATGGAAATAGAATCCAAAGCTGGGAATGAGTTTTGTAGGCCTAGCCCAGGAGCACTTTTCTGAGCCTCCCTCCGTACACTGAAAAGACAAACCTAACGTATGTCTAGCCTGTGGAACTTCTAGAATTAAAAAAGAAACGTGCTCAGGAATAGCACTGGATGACTTAAAAAATGTGCAACGTTCCCAAGTACAAATCCTGTATTGCATCGAGTAACAAAGGAAAATTGATATTTAATCCAAATACAACCAAGAGTCCATTCATAGTCCATTCTCGGTTTTTACCAAGAGGTGGATACAGGGGGAAGTCCGTAACTGAGGTAGAACGGACCGTTTCAAGTAGCTCTGAGAGCTGCTTTTAGGCACCCAGTTACCTCCACACACATTCTTAAAAGTTCTTCCAACCAGTTCTTGTTGTAGACGCTAGCAATGTGGGAGAAATTAACTAGCCCGTCTCTCCTTTCTCTCTGTAGTTTTGGTCTTCCTTTCAGGAAATTTACACTGACAGTACTCAGTAACAATTTCTTAACAATAACAGGCATGGCTACTTGTTAATTCTATTATTATATTCTTTTGTCACCTAATAGTGAACCTCAAAGGCTTTAAACCTAGATAATTTACGTTTTTAGCATTAGCAAAAACCAAGGCGACAAGTATTCCCTCAATCTTTTTTGAAGCCTTAGATCTCTAGCTTTAGATTTGTCTTTAAAGTACAATGCTTAGCTCTAGCCTGTTTGCTCAGTGGTTAGCGGGTCAGCCTGTACAGATTGAAGTCTCTGTTCGACTCCAGATCAAGGGCACATACCTTGGATGCAGGCTCAATCCCTGGCCCCTGGGTCAGGGGCACACGGGAGGCACCAATCAATGTTTTTCTCTCTCCCCCCCTCTCCACTGTCTCTAAAAAAACAAACAAAAAACAAAAAAAATGGAAAAAATATCCTCGGGTGAGGATTAACTATATACATACATACATACATAAGTAAAAACAAAGTACAATGACTAGTTTCCATACTTTAGTACTTTACATCTCTGACTAACTGTGAATAAGTAGAAATTTGAGGGAAAAATAGGAAGCAGAGTGAACCAGTGTTTTTGTGCTAATAGATTCACTAGAAATAATTAGAAGTGATATAACATACCTATTCCAGTCCCCTACACCTAATTATTCTATCCAGCCTTTACTCTTGCTAAAAACTTATTTTGCAAGGGGATTCCTTTGTTAAAATCCTTTACAGAAAGAATTACATATCGTTCCATACCATAATTAAGCTACTAACCAAACCAAAGGTTTTCTTCAGGGTCACAGCTATTCTCCAAGGTTATAAGATGGGATATTGTCAAGTCCTCAGTACATCTGCCTAATTCTAGGTTATTCACATTGCAGATTATCCTGTGTGGGGCTTCGCTCGAGTCCCTGGAAACACAGGCCCACGAGGTGCCTGGAGCCTCTCCCTCCACACTTCCACAAAAGAACTCACCCAGGCACCAGGAAGGCAGACCCAGACTTAGAACTTGCTTAAAGTGTGGATCTTGGCAGACATTAATTTCCTCTGCCAAAGAAAGCCTTCAAAGTAGAATATTTTTAAGGTTTTGAAAGATCTTGACTCTATCGTGTGTAAAAGTTAAGAAATTCATATTTACTAGTTATTCATTTATGCTGGAATTGTAAATTCCAGAACACACCCAAATAATTTAACTTCCATACTTGCGGAGGCTAATCCTAAAATTAGCAAGATAATTCTGGCAAAATAATTCTAGGGCAATGATTTTGTCCACCTTCGAATCTATGTATTCCAGCCTTCTAGCCCCATCTAACACCAATGAAAAGATTTACTATGGGTGTGTAGTAAATACCTCTAAGTATTAAGAATGAATAGAAAGTCTTTATTCTTGCTTGTTAAAAAATGGTAACAATTTACTCAGCCAGCATCATCAATTTCATCAATGGAATAAATATTTTAGTCAAAAAACCTTAGCAAATGAAAGTTATAGAGATGGGAAATGTAGGCTTACAGTTATGAGTACATGAAAGTTTATTCTTGCATTATGTGTTGTCCCATTTCCATACGGAACGTAAACCTACTTTTGCCCACCCCATACATGTACTTTCCTATTAGGAAAAAAGTTCATTTTATATATTTGGTGATTAAAAAGAAAAATCCTCTGCTCTGGTCATCGTGGCTCAGTTAGCTGGAGTGTCGTCTTGTACACCAGTAAGTGGCAGGTTCCATTCTGGTCAGGGCACTTACTGAATACGGTTATGGGTTCAATCCCCAAGTGCAGGAGGCAGCTGATTGCTGTTTCCCTCAAAGAAAAAAATCCTCAACAAAGGATAGAAACTAAATCATCTAAGTTGGATTCAGGGTTTTAGTTAACATATAAGAAGTCATTTATTGCCCTAGCTGGTTTGGCTCAGTGGATAGAGCGTCAGTCTGAGGACTGGAGGGTCCCCCAGGTTCGATTCCAGTCAAGGGCGCATGCCTGGGTTGCTGCTTGATCACCAGTAGGGGGTGTGAAGGAGGCAGCCAATCAATGATTCTCTCTCATTGATGCTTCTATTTCCTCTCTTCCTTTCCCTTCCTCCCTGAAATCAATAGAAATATATATTTTAAAAAGTAATTTATTATTTTATTTATAAGCTTGATAGTTATGATTTGTGGTCAGCTATAAACGTGCCACTAAAAAAACACTGTAAATTAGCTAAATCTAATTTTACTATAATGTGACACCATTTAGAGGCTAAATTTAGATATGAACACAAGGGACACATTAAACACTAACAACACGCTAAAAAAATCCCAAGAACATAGGTAGCTGGAGAGGAGAACTTTGTAAAAGGAAATATTCAATTTTGGTAAATAGTATCTTCCAGTCTAAACTAATGATTACATGAAAAACATCAAGGAGAATACATTCAAGTTAATGGAAACAAGTCTTTATTAAGTAACTTTTAATATCAGAAAAATAAAACTCTTATAATTCTCTTTACAGCAAATATATAATATCAGTGCTTTGGCCATCTTAAGTTAAAGGCCCTTTATCATAAAATATATGGTTTTAAACTTTACTCAAATTGAATTTATAATCCCTATAACTTCCCTACATATACATAACAAAAGAGTAGTAAAATTAGCAAATACTAAACTATATTGATAATTTATCATTCTTAGTTTGTGGTTTTAGAAACAGTACACGCACCTAATATATATGTCGATTCCTTGGCTTATTAGTTGCAGTGTACAATGCAACAAAATACAAAATACATGCTTGGCGAACATTCGTTCATATCTACAAGACGGCGCTAAGGATTAGGTTTCAATACTGACATTTAACTATCCTACAAGCAATTAGCATTACATCATAATATGCCATCAAGGCAATTTTTTTATACTGAAAAAATCAAAATAAAAACCGTTATTTGTAAACTTTTATACGAAATGTAACTCTTCAAGTGAAAATAAAAAATAAAATTTGTCTATGTACTATTCAATACACATAGGATTTCAATTTTTGTTATACTGAGAAAAAAAAAAGCTTTTTTTTTGGTTGGGAAAATAACACTTCAAAAAATAATTAGTAGAAAAACCCACCAGTATCATGTTTTGTCTTTTCAATGCCAGCATAGATTTGGGAACATACTGAGGATGAAGTTGCAGACATCCACAGGTGAAATGTAAAAGTATCTTAAATCTTCCCTTGTGATTAGAAATAGTTTTGAAATGAAGTAAACTGATCGGAGGTCATCACAGCTGCTTTTGTGAATTATACTAAGGGCGTTATTCTCCCTCTCTCCCTCCCCCTTCCCTAAATTACTAAAAAATAAAAATATATTTATAATGTGCAAGACAAATATGGATTGAACATAAAATGTTTCACATTTTGATCTAGAGTCTAAAAATAATCAATAGCTTGATTAGACTAATGAATGGAATGTTCGTATCCTCAATTAGCCAATATAGGTGAATCCCAAAACCCTTCCTGAAATGGGAATACCCAGGTGGCCATTTCCACATTCACCGAGGGAGGCAATGGGTAGGAATTCACAATCCACACAATTGCCACAATTGCGTTCCTGATCCACTGATCATACCAGCTGGGCGAGATGAAGGTCAATGTAGCAGTTTTTGTCCCAAATTATAACCAGTGATTGAGTAAACTGCCACCAGCCCTATTATTACCAGTAATTAAGTCACAATGCACTAGAAAGTTACTTGCAATCCTGCAGAATTAGGCATAAGTTGCTGTAAAATAAAAAACAAACCTGTTTTGTCAAAACTGGCAGTGTAAAGAAGGCAGCCCTGGAAGTGTCTGAATCATCTGTAATGCCAAGTACCCTCCATAAACTCTTAATGTGGTTAGGCTTTGGGACCAGTTTTGAAGTCTCAGACGGATACACTTTTCTCGTAGGCTCACACAACCTGTGATGATCTTCACTCAAGCGAGTTGAACTTCAGCAATTCTTATACAAGCTATGTCTCTGGGTCTATAGGATATTAATAATTCAAACCAAACTAATAGACAAGAGACCACTTAGGTTTAGTGTTACCATAGCAGCCTTTTATAAGTTTACTAACAACTTTAGCCTAATCCCAATAAAGCCTGATAACAGTCATAAGAATTCATTAGGAAGTTTACTGGGGTACCATTATACCCATGCCTTTACGAGTCCATATAGAGATATAGTATTTATGTATATATATATAGTTAAGAGTGAATTTGGATTGCCTGAGTAACAGCTGTCTGGCAAACTGGACATGATGGCGTTCTCTTTTCACAGATCTTGTTGGCACATTCCATGCAGAAGAGGTTGTGGCCACATGGAACTAGGGCAGCAATAACTTCATTCTCAAAGCAAATCACACAGTCGTGCTTTCGTCTTGATTCTGGAGGTGAGCTAGAGGTGGAGCCGCCGTTGGAAGAGGAGTAACTATTGGTACCGTTAGAAAAAGCAGGGATGTATATTGGAAGGCCAACGTGGTTGCCTGTACTAGGTGGGTCGCTCCTAACCCTCCGAGCAAGTGGGTGTTCGATGCTCTCAGGGAAGGTAGGAGACAGGCGAGGAGTAGATGGCTGACTTCCTCTACGCTGAGTCTTCACGTTACCAGAAGGATCACTCCCGAAGCCTGAGAGCGGGTTAACTGGTTCAAATGGAGTCCAGATAGTTTGCGCGGATGTTGGTAAGGAGTCAAAGGCAGGAGAATCAACTGCGAGATCTTCTGAGCCTACAGATGGTAGTGCGTCTCCGAACCAAAAGTTCCCTGTGCTGAATGGGCTCGTCGGACTGAAGTCAGCCAGCCTATTGCTTCCGAAGTAGGAATCCGTGGAACCACTTCCCAGAGAGCTGGAGCTATCGTTTCGGTAGTTGGAGATCATCCTGGCGCGGCTGGGAGGAGCTGGGTTGGAGGAGAGCCACGCAGAGCTCAGAGTGCCGCTTTCAAAGCTGACGTCGGTACCGTTGTAATGGAAATCGTTCTCTTCATTGAGCTCAATATAGTTTCCTGTGCGCATGGCAATATGCATTTCTATTTCTTCTCGTGCTCGGTCAACATTTTCAGGCATCCCTGTCACTTCAAAGACGGGCTCCTTATCTCTGCTCGGAGTTACTATGTATGTGTGGGTCTGCTGCTGAATTCTTTTAATAGTTGCTCCTTTGGGTCCAACTACTAATCCTACCACACGATACGGGACCCTCACTTGCACGGTGGTTTGGCCGGGCAGATTAGGGCTTGACAAGCCTCCCAGGGCAGGGCCGTTTTTGTTTCGAGATGCACGGATCATGGAGAAGTGCTCTGCAGCGGAGAGGATTTCTCTCTTGGCCATGGCGACATCTTCTTTCCGTCCCGTGACAACAAAAATGGGCTCTTCACCACGAACGGGGGTCTTGATGTACGTGTTTGTCTTGGCTCTCAGTGCTTTAATTTTACAACCTGTTAGAAAGAAAATATGTCATAAGAATCAGCATCTACTTAACAGCACTGATAAAGACAAACCAGAGTGCTCCTTTCAGCTGAACATCTGCTCTGGCAGCTGGAGCGCTCTCTCCAGCACGCGGAGAGTGGGCTGACCCCCAAAGCTTTAGCAGTTTACGACCCTGCAGGGTACTGGTGGCAAAGAAAAACCAGTCATGCCTATCGACTGTCTCATTTAATCTACACAATAAGAACTAAATTATTATACTCCTTTTACTGAGAAGGAAAATAAAGCACACAAAAAATTGTATAACTTGTCCACGTTCACACAGCCAGAGTTAAACCTACTCTGACTTGAAAATCTGTCTTTTTGTTAGTCCAGAACTTCAAAGTTAACACAACTATACTATACGACACTTTCACTTCCACTTAATTATCATTTTAACATGACTCTTTCCTCTGTAAGGCTCAATAGCAAAGTGCTCATGGCTAGTAGGTCATCTCCCGTTTGCTCCCATCAGTTGAATTTTTAAGCTTACTAAGTTTCACATAAATCAGTGAAATATGAATAGAAAAGACACTGTATTTGCATAAAAAGTCAAAAGGGCAAAAAAAGTAATATAAAATAATAACTTTGTACTCATAAAATTCTTGCTAAATTCAAAATAAATATTGGAAACTGTATGGAACATAGGCATTGGATGTGGTTTTATTGAAGAGGGACAATTCTGGTTAGCAGACCATTCTCAAACAAAAAGCTTTGGCCCCAAAGCCTAAGTATATTTAAGTTAAAACATCTAAGACAATATGCCTAACTACACATGATTCTTTAATCAACTTTTTGGAGTATTCACCCATTCGCGTGTCAACTGTGTAAGATTAGAGGGCTTCAAACTGTAACTTCACATGTCAAATACACCACCACAGCATTTCCTAACATGATTTCTTAACATGAAAATAGATTTATTCCCATGAACGTATCATGCCATTCCTAGTTCCTCAAATAAAGAAGTCGGGTGCTGTTGAAGATACTCATCACAATCTGGGCAAGTCTTTTTCTTAAATTTCCCCCCTTTAATTTTTTTTTTGCCACCCAAATATATTCAAGATGTACTGAAGTCTTTATATACATCATTTTTAACTACATAACTGCAATAGTTTTCCCCAATAGGTCTCCTTGCCTCCAGTTTGCCTCACTTCAATTCAATCTACTGTCTATGTTCACTTCAGTCAAATTATGCTTTCTCTAAATAAAGCGCATCATATGATCATTCTTTGCATAAAGTGTTTTAATGGCTCCCCTTTGCCTTAAATATGGCACACAGGGCCCCTCATTACCTGGAACCTGAGCACCTCTCTCTAGCTTTATCTCTTTACCACTCTTTTCCCATTCCCCCTTAAGCTCTGCAGTGTGCGCTACCACACTGGACTCCCGGCCATGGACCCTTGCTTGCACATGACTAGAATGCTGCCGTCCCCACCTCTTTAACTCCCAGTTCTGACTGCTGACCTCTTACCAGCCACTCCGATTTTACTTTCAATGCCTCACCTTCTAAGAGGTTTGTGTGCCATTCCTAAGCATTCTCAAAGCACTGAGTGGTTTGACTGTAAGTATATGTCATCGGTGGCCATACATTTGTTGAAACAAAGATGACTGTTTTTCTATATAACAATACTGGGCCTTTCTTATATGTACTGCTTTGGAGCTAGTCACTTTCTGCTGCGCTTTTCAAGACTTTCATATTCTGGCCTCATACTACTCATCCAACCCTTCTGAAAGGAGTTGATTTTGCTGACTTCAATGATAACATAATCAACCTCCCTGCAACTTTCGGACCTCAACCACAAATGGAGGTCCTGTTCTTTCCAACATCTGCAGACTCCGCAACGGCAGCTTTCTCGCTGCTGGGTCCTAGGTCTCTATCATGAATACACTTGGAGAGTTAAGTATGTTACTGTAAAACAGGAAAGTTTTCATTTATTATAAAGAGTGCTGCTGTAAATTGATCAGCCCCTTTCCACGCTTAAGAAAATTTTCTAAATAAATACTTCTGAGGCTATAATCAACCATCAGTTGCTGCTTAGAATACTTTTTGTTTAAAACCTAGTAGGCACATTATTAACTAAGAAAATATGCTTAAAGGCACACAGGACACTATCCGGCCTATGGTTAGATATAATAAATGGGTGTTTAATATATGGCTCATTAGGAAGACAGAAGGTGAACATTTTGAGCATGGACTACTTCTGAGATGGGGGAGTAAGATAGGCCATATACTGCCCAAAAGGGTCATGTGCATACGTTTTGCAGATGAGGGGAAAGTGATAACAGGAAGATAGCAGAGCCAGCTCATTTTAAGCTACTGCCAACAAAAAAACAGAAGTATTTCTTCTCTCTCTACAGTGAACCTCATCAATCATAACCTTGTTTCTACAGGAAATATTTAGAGTTCTAAACAACCAGCACACGATTTCTAGAATACACATGCATTCTAAAGGCGGGGACAATTAGAAATGGCAGACTTCTAAGTAGGTGACACAAAGGAGAAAAAAATCATTTTATTATTTTTTCAGGTGGAGATAAAAAGCTTTTTTTGAGTATTTTAGATTGAGTTTGTACTTGAAAATTCAAAGATACTAAAAAATCATAAAAGAATATATAGTCTCAGAACAGCACAAAACCCAGAGCTATAAAAGTACTGATAAAATGCACTTTATGAAAAATCGTTGCCTGGCAAAAGTCACCCATAACAAGGTTAAAGCATTAATTATTTACAACTCATACTAAAAATGGCTAATTTTTCTCTTACACACATACTCCACTCTACATATGAAAACACCAAAACCCAACAGAAAAATATGTAAAAGAAACAGCTCACAGAAGGAAATACATAAATGGCACTGAACACAAAATTTCCCATTTTCATATGTATTGAGGTATCATTTTCCACCTGTAAGACAGTCAAATATCAAAAACAGTGCTAGGAAGAAATGGGAAAAAGCCCCTGGTTTAGCTGCTGAGAGAATAGACTGCCTAAGGGCACTTTGCAATGTCTATCAAAATTACAACTGCAGGTCTCCCTTTGCCCCTATAATTCCACTCGTAGAATTGATTCTGTGGAAATACTTGCATAAGTGCAAAATGACCTTTGTATTATATCGTGCACTATGGTTTGTATTAGTGAGAGGCTGGGGCAACCACAGAACGGAATACTGTGCAGTCATAAAACTGGTTGACTTAGGGGGACAGCACAGGAAGGAGGCAACTTCCCTTCTACACCAATTTTTATAAACTTTGAGCCATACGAATGATTAGCTTTTCAAAGGTATGATCAGAGTAATTAAATGAGCCCTCTCCAGTTTGGCTCAGTGGATAGAGCAATTGGCCTGTGGACTGAAGGGTCCCGGGTTCCATTCCGGTCAAGGGCACATGCCCAGGGTTGCGGGCTCAATCCTTAAGTGGGGGGAGGGCAGGAGACAGCCAATCAATGATTCTCTCTCATCGTTGATATTTCTATCTCTCTCTCCCTCTCCCTTCCTCTCTGAAATCAATAAAAATGTATCAAAAATAAATAAAATGTTACATTTTATTAGACTTAGCATATCAATAAGACTTTTACCTCGTACTGAGATTACTGTATTTTAAATTGTATAAACAACAGGGTAAATGATTTCATATCCTCAAAGCTGAAAAAGCTTTTTAATTTTAAGACGTTAAGGGTTAACAATTATTTTCTTACAACTACAGATAAAAATACCAAACGAGCTGTGTACCAGCCTATGTAGAGGTTAAGAACTAGAATCACATCAGCTTTCAGAGTTCTAATTTTATTTTGATTTGGAAGTAAATTCCCCAAATGAAAAGTCTCCAATTTACCTCCCTGGTGTAAGAGGAACCCACTTCTCCTTTGTCTATCACTGTATCTGGGGTTGTGTTTCACCTTAAAGCCCTGTAGCTGCAGCCAGAATTCTGGTCTTCTCACTCCCTGGAACAGCAGAGGTCCTGTCTTGCTTCTCAGGGTAGAGAGCCTCTCCTACCAGCTGCCTCAGCGATTAAGAGGGAGACTGGGTCCTCTGTGGCTGGGCGAGGACTGGGAAGAACTGAAAGGATGGCACCTTCAGTGTTTCTCAAACCACTATGGGTTTGCATTAGCAACTTAATGGGTTGTGATCAGCATTAAAAAACAAACAAAAAGCAAAACGAAACCAAAAAACCAAGAACTCAGTGTGTTCCAAATGTTTCAGTAAAATATGTGTACAATGGGTTTCAATGTAAAATGTTCTTTTGCTTGGGGGATGGTAAAACCATTAGACTAGATACATCTTTACGGCCACTTTTAAATTCCATTAAGCGTGTGGAAGGATGTACTTATAACAAAAGAACCCGATGAAGAATTAGTCTGCAACTTAAATGTAATTACAGTCCAAATCAATTCACATTAAATATAGGAAGATAAACCGATAATCTGGGCGGGCCTGACCTAACCATGAGTTCTTTAAGGTTTTCTCAGCTGGCCTCAGAAGTCAACCTACCTTCTCCTAGATCTTATCATCTCTGAAACATGCCTTATGCCTGTTCCTCTTCTATTCCTGCTCAGATATTTCTCTACATAATCCAGAACACACTCCTAGTACTCCCCACCCCCTCACAGCTTCTGAGTAACAAGGATGGCCATTTGGAAAAGATGAGATTGTGTGTGTGAAAGGCTCTATGACAGGGGTGGGCAAACTTTTTGACTCGAGGGCCACAATGGGTTCTTAAACTGGACCGGAGGGCCGGAACAAAAGCATGGATGGAGTGTTTGTGTGAACTAATATAAATTCAAAGTGAACATCATTACATAAAAGGGTACGGTCTTTTTTTTTTTTTTTTTAAGTTTTATTCATTGATTCGGCCCACAGGCCGTAGTTTGCCCACGGCTGCTCTATGAGCTCAAGAATAACATAACCATAGGTAGGACTCTTATTACCACAGCTACTACACAGGAATCTTCAAGGTCCAGTTAAAAGGAAACAACGTCAGGAGCACAAAACTGAGTATCTACAGGGCTGGGTTCAATCAGATCTTTCACCAGTTACTAGTGGTTTCAAGTGTTAGGCCACTCAACTGCAAGGTCCCTTCTAATGTTTATATATATATTTTTTACCAAGTCCCTCTACTCCTAGGAAATACAGTCACTTCTTTGTTCTGAAGTCTAAAAAGCATTTGGGACAGTCATACATACATCTATTCTTCTTTTCCTAAGAAAAGGTAGGTTGGATAATGGGTGAGGAATTATGATTAAAGATACTGTCTTACTTGGTTTTGCAAGAATTAAATAAAATATTAAAAATAGTTATTACAATGCCTATTATTCAAGTAGGTGCTCAGTTAAGGGTAGTTTTTTAGACCATCTGCCCCACTTAAACTATTTCACTAGTGCCCTAGCTGGTTTGGCTCAGTGGATAAAGTGTCAGCCTGTGCACTGAAGGGTCACTGGTTCGATTCCGGACAAGGGCACATGCCGGGTTGCGAGCTTGATCCCCAGTAGGGACTGTGCAGTAGGCAGCTGATCAATGATTCTCATTATTGATGTTTCTGCTCTCTCTCCCTTGCCATTCCTCTCTGGAAATCAATAAAAATATATATTTTTAAAAAGTACTTCATTAGTAAATGAGACAAAAGGCCTTTTAAATAATAAAAATTTGTAGCGCACTTTTCAGTTTTCCAAACTCACCTGTTTACATTCTCATTTAATCGTAACAGAGTGCTTTAGGAAGAGCAGAAAAGAGCCTAAGTGAATCGCTCAAGATCTCCTAACTGGAAGGTCAGATCTCAAACCCACGATGTTATTATCCTCTCACTAGGCAAAACATGTTTTGTGAAATAGTAGAAAAAGGGGAAAGGGAGTCATATTATTGAATGCTCCTCCTATATAATAAAAGACTAATATGCAAACTATCCCCTTGGGAGTTCGACCACTTGCTATGACGCGCGCTGACCACCATGAGGCAGTGCAGAACGAAGGGAGGCCCCAGCTGGCAGCCAGCGGAAGGCAGGCCCCAATCACCAGCCAGGCCTAGGGACCCTACTCATGCATGAATTTCATTCAACGGGCCTCTAGTTTAGAGGAGGAAAGGCAGGAACAAGCCAAAGGGGAGGGGAGAGTGGTGCAGAAAGGGGAACAGTTATATAAAACTAGAGGCCGGGTGCATGAATTCGTATGTGGGTGGGGTCCCTCTGAGTGGCCTGCAGGGATTGGGCGAAACCCACAGTCCAACGCTGCCTGCAGCTCCTACCTCCACTCCTGCTCATCCTGGCCCCACTGTGCCTGCGGCAGGCTCGCCAGCCATGAGCCCTGCATCTGGTGCCCTCCCAAGGGGAGTGGCCTGTGGGATTGGGCTGAAACTCGCTCTCCAAGGGGTCCCAGATTGCAAGAGGAGCAGGCCAGGCTGAGGGACCCCACCAGTGCACCATCAGGGGCTGCAGGAGGGCTCCAGGGTGTGTCCGGCCCATCTCACTCAGTTGTGATTGGCCCAACCCCAGCAGCAAGCTAACATACAGGTCGGAGCATCTACCCCCTGGCAGTCACTGCACGTCATAGTGAGTGGTGAACTGTCTGCCCCCTGGTGGTCAGTGCACATCATAGCGAGCAGTTGAGCAATCTTAGCATATCACACTTTCATTGGTTGTTTGGTTGTTCTGCCCTTTGGTCTATTTGCGTATCACCCTTTCATTATATAGGACTAGAGGCCCAGTGCACAAATTCGTGCACGGGTGAGGTCCGGCGCCCAGCCCCATTAGGGGTGGAGCGGGGCTGGGCCTATTGGGAAGAGGAGACGGTGGGAGGTTGGCTGGCCAGCCCTGGCACCCAATTGGGCCGGTTTGCTGGCCCCAGTGGGCATCATAGCAATGGGTCATTCCAGCATTCCTGTCACTGGCTTTATATATATATACACACATACATACATACACATATATATATAGATATAGATATAGACATAGACATATAGATAGATAGATAAGATCCTTTACCTCCTAGGAGAGTCTAGACCAGTGGTTCTCAACCTCTTTAAATACAGTTCCTCCTGTTGTGACCCAACCATAAAATTATTTTCATTGCTACTTCATAACTGTAATATTGCTACTGTTATGAATCGTAATGTAAATATCTGATATGCAGGATGGTCTTAGACGACCCCTGTGAAAGGGCCGTTCAACCGCCAAAGGGGTCGCGACCCACAGGTTGAGAACCACTGGTCTAGACAGACTCCTTGAACTTTTACAAGGAACTCAATTTCAGTACTGTATCTTTAAAAACTGATGAATATCAGAGTAAATTCCAGTAAGAATGTTTCTTATGCATACAACTTAATCTAATATTTAAATAACTAACTTAGATTAGCAATGCAATGTATTCCTAAATCACAATAGCTTTCCTTTCGAGTTGTCAAATGTGCATCTTGTAGCTCTTCTAGTCAAAATTTTCTGAAATTTTTAAAGAATTGTACATTCTCTTTAGTTATCACTATGAAAGCAACCCAAACAGCTTCATTTATGTGATTTCAGTTTTGCTTGTTTTCAGTATTCATAGATATTTAATACCTTAAATCAATTAGCATCCACTGCCCTTAAAAAAAAAAGAAAAAGGCAGTTCCAAACAACTTGAGGTTGACTGGCTCCTTAGGCAAAGGGTTAGCGATAAAGCAAGAGGGAAGAAAACCCTAACACCACAATATGCAAATTTAAACAAATAATGAAATGATAAATTTCTAATCCAGCAATTCAGTTCAATAAAACAAACAGGAGTAAGGATGCAAAGATGACAAGATTCAGTTCTGCCCTCTGATTTGTGTCAGCTTCAGGCACCAACAGGGTTTAGTTATACAGGTTCATGTACAGATACTGATCTGTCATCTTCTGTTTATACTGTTGGTTGGTGATGTTGTCAAAGTCTTCCATATCCTTGCTGGCTTTATTCCTGCTTGTTTTTACCACTTATTGAAGAGAGCAGTGCTGAAGTCTCCGATTTTATTAGGTCGAGACTCTGGTAAGTTATTTATTATCTCTGTTGATCTGTTTCCTTATCTGTACAGTGGAAATAAGAATGGATCAAATGAGATAATACATGTCTGACACACATACTTATTTATTTTTAAGCAGTCTTATTTATTTCTTAAAATCTTTATTGTTGAAAGTATTACATTATATCCCCCTTTTCCTCCCATTGACCCCTTGTAGCCTGTGCCCCCTCTCACCCCAGGCCTCCACCACCCTATTGTCTGTGTCCATGGGATATATATATATATTCGTTGGCTGTTCTTTTCTCACTGTCCGCCTTCCCTGAGGTTTGACAGTCTGTTCCTTGCTTCTATGTCTCTGGATCTATTTTGTTCACCAGTTTATTTTGTTCATTAGTTTCCACATATGAGTGAGATCATGGGATACTTGTCTTTCTCTGACTGGCTTATTTCACTTAGCGTAATACTCTACAGGTCCCTCCATGCTGTCTCAGAGGGTAAGAGAGCCTTCTTTTTTACTGCTGCATAGGTGCAAATGTTAAGAAAATAATAAAATGATCTTCTATAGGAAGTTAAAAACATTGAAGGAATACATCTCCTGCCCTGGCCTGTGTGGCTCAGTTGGTTGGAGCATAGTCCTGGACACAGAGGTCACAGGTTGGATCCCCAGTCAGGGCCTGTATAGGAGGCATCTTATCAATGTCTCTCTCTCACGTGGATGGTTTCAACTAGTATCTGCTCAGAGTTCAAATCCAGTAGAAACACAAATTATAAACTGTACTTATGCTTCATATGTACTTTACTATTTCTTATACGTTAAATTGCATAGTAAATTTGTACTAACGACATCTCAAATTTGATCCTCACAACAAATGGGGGGGGGGGGGCAAGGAGGGGCAAGGAGGGGCCAGCGAAAGCAAGTGGATGGAACAGGTTTTTTTCCCACAAGAGGAAAAACTGAACTCCGCCGATGTTAAGTGATTTGTTCAAGGTCATAGGCAACGAATGGTGAAACCCGGTCTCCATCAACTTTTCTAAGTCCAAGTTCAATGTCACTAAATGGTACAGGTGGAAAGGCAGGGACAAGCCAAAGGGGAAGGGAGAATGGTGCAGAAAGGGGGACAGTAACAAGGTCAGTCCACAGCACACACTTTACACTGGTAACCTTTGGGGAAGATTTTCTAATTGTTTGCAACTATTCCCTCCCTACTCTCCTCTAACCATGTTCAATACTAACCACTTCATGCTTATCTTCAACTACACCTGCAATTTTCATTAAATAATTTCATTACTTTAAGGTCTAGTTTTATTAGTCCATGATACAACTACTTACAGTAAAATCAGGCTTCCCTGCATACAATGAATTGTAGTAACTGCTTATTGGACAAAGGCAAAAACCATGCCCACATGAATTGTTCTTAAATCCCAAACACTGGCATGAAATAAGTGCTCTAGTTATGGTGTGTAACTTAAAATTCTCAAAATCAGTCATGAAATATAGGCTTGAACTTGAATGCTATTCAAACAACATCAGGCTGTGCATAATTCCTTCTTATAGTTGATTGTGGTAATACAATATTAGAAAATTATTATATAGGCTTAAACATCAGATTTAATTTTTATAAATGTCTATATGGTACCTAGTGGTAGCATGGGAAAAAAAGGTAAAAGCCCACAAATTATGATTTAAACTATTTGGGAAGCATTAAGATG